GCTTTTTTAAATTAAATAACTCTTTTTTTTCTCGTGAACTTAAAAAGTTATTTCCCAAACAAACTTTTATTTGCACACATCAGAAGTCTTTTGTTGCGATTTTAGGCCCTGTCTCCGACGTCATGTGAGAATCACAAGTAAAACTTTGAGTCAAACAAAAACTTAGAATAGCAAGAAAAGATTTCTGACATGCGCAAATAAGTTTGTTTTATAAATAATTTTTTCACTTCATGAGACAATAATGTGTGATTTTAATTTTAAAACAAGTTTTTTTAAGCAAATCTCAGTAGGCAAAACATGACACCAAGAGAACTATGAAACAGTGTTCTGTTTCATTCAGTTTCGCTATGTTCAGTCAGGGTCCATGTTGGAAGTAAAGCCACAGATAAATAACCAAAGACTATGAATAGCAACCCTATGGAACACAAAACCTATGACAATAAAACACCAAACACCCAGACATCATGACAGTGAGAACTTCTGAACTTTGAGTCACTTTATAGTTTATAGTCACTTTATTTCTGAGACTTTCTAAGCTGTGATATTTAGGTCTGAAGATGAAAAGGTCAAAGTAAGTTATTAGTTAGAAGTGTGATTGCACACACTAATGTGATGTGAGTTCGGTCAGTAAACATAAAAAAGGAATAGCTATTTTTGGTTTAAATCTCTATTGCCAGAAAATATCTCTGCAAAGGGTCTTTACATTCAGGCCTGCAATGTTTCTTTTTCAACATGCACAGTGTTGTAGTTTGTTTTCTAAATGCTTTTTTATATGGATCTGTGTGTTGATGTATGTGCATAGGGTGGAGGATATGTACTTGGGGGTTTTGTACACTTTAGGATTTACTTGCTTGATCTTTTCTTGCAACACAGAATTTCTATGTTCTGTAAATGCACAGTAAAGTAACTATTCTTTCCTTGTATTTACATGTATCACTGCTATAGTAATAATATAGACTGAAGCTGAAAAAAAAAAAAAGACCAGTCCAATTTGTTGAACTATTCCTTTATGTGCATTTTTTGACTTTGGTGCAGCATCACTTCATCAGAGAGCAGCGACTCTGTTTGATTTCATATTTTACAGAGAGTACACAGTGTTCTGTTTCATTCAGTTTCGCTATGTTCAGTCAGGGTCCATGTTGGAAGTAGTCCACTGTGGACAAGGCAGTGCTGTGGGAGATTTTGATAGATGTGTGTTTGAAGTGTGTCACAGCTATATGTTATAAAAGTAAACTGGTCACCCAAGCTGCCACAGTGACTGATGCATGGGATCCCTCTGCGTCCCGTTGTCTTACCTTCCTGAGGACTCTGCTGTCCACTGCGGGGGGGCTTGTCTGTGTCATCACGCTTGGGGTTGTCCACCGAGCGGAGAGACTGGCTGCGAGAGAGATGGCGACCTTTGCCTAAAGGAGGATGAGGCAAGGCCAGGAGGGGGAGGAGGGGCGGTGTTAGCAACCAGAGCTCCTTCATTAATGGCTTATATTTGGGGCACAACCGTGACGTGATTGGTCACCCAGAACAGCATCAGCCAAACTTGGGACTTGTGTTGTGCTGTTGGTGTTTATGTGCTGTTCCTGTGTGCTGACAATTTCTTTCAGTTGTTGTATAATGCTGTTCAGAGTCTTAAAGTGCCTCTGATGGTATGACTAAGTACAAAAATACACTTAAACCCATCACAGCTGCAGCCATGACTTATTGCTGTGAGACAGAGAAATGCATCAATCGTTCTGCCCAGATGAAAAGAAGCTTTAAGCTGTCAAATGAAAGCACTAATACTTCTTGGTAAATAGTCTCTAATAAATAAAGCACTCAGATGCTCACTGCCTGAGCCACTTTAGCCATTTGAGTATTTTAGGATTTTGAAATAATCAGGTCTTTGCATTATTGACCAAAAAACCAGTTGACCATGCAGGTTTTCTTATTTTCATCGATCAAAGTCCCCTTTCCAACATGCACTCCTTAACTCAAAATCCTGAATCACACGCATAAGATACAGAACAGAATAAGTTAGTAGGAAAGGAAGGGTAAGCTTAGAATGTCTTTAAAATGTCCAACGAACACATAGTTTCATTGGTGGACAGAACCAAAGCCAATGGAAAGAGCTAACCTGTGCATGACTGGGAGTTGCAGGGCCGACCTTCCTCCACTATGCCCTCACACAGGAAAGACTCCTCAGGAGGCGACTGGCAGGTCCGAGCACGGGTTTGGATTCCTCCGCCACATTCACTGCTGCACTGCCCCCAGTGGCCCCAAACACTCCAACCACCTGCAGACACAAACACAGCCAACAGAAACAGTCACTGTTAAAACAATGCAGTACTGTCAACACTACATGTGAGCTAACTGACAACAGCTTTTATAAATAAAAACAAAACAGTTTATTTTTCATGGAATGATTAAATGTATATATATGTTCTTACACTCTGAAGCAAATATTGCAACAAAAATTTGCAACAAACTGACTGTGTAATGTTTCACACAACACAGTGGTACTGTAGAATGGTTTTTGCTATATTAACTTATATTAGTCATAAGACAAACTTAAAAACAATGAAATATGCCTTTCAGCATTTTTCACAAGAAATTAGACCCTAAATTCACATTCTTGCTTGTCTGTCTAATCTCTGATATTCTTAGACAAATTCCTGTGCAATCCTGCCTTCATAGTTTATAGCCAGTAAGTAGAGTCCTCGTGTGTATGCTTTTCTCCACCTAAATACAGTTGTGAAGGTTTCAGCAATTTATTGGACAACATTAGTGAGCAAACCATAGATAGGTTAGCGGAGCAGAACCTATCTGCTCCGCTAAACATAGCGGAGCAGATAGGTTAAATGAAGGATTAGGTTGAGAAACTGCAAACCTACTAGAGCATGCCTGTCCACCAAAACAGACAGGAGAACATTGTTTAGAGAATCATGGAAGAATCCTGAGATAACTGTGGAAGAGATTCACAGCTCAAGATGGAAAATAAGACAAAAAGACAGTTCTTTTGACCCTTTTCCACTAGAACCTACTCAGTGAAGTTCATGTCGACATGGTTAAGGTAATTTTCAGTTATACTTGAATATCAGCTCTGTGTGAGTGGGGTCATCCTAGCAGAGTGGTCCCACGATATGAAAAGCAATGTGGCATTAATATTCAACATAAACGCAACACAAGTACAAAAACGTTTGCATCTTGTCATTATCCTACAAACCACACCTATTCGCAGTGTTGCTATTTTCCTTAGCACACTTAGTATTGCGAGTTTTTACAAATGTTAGAACTAATACTTGTAAGGCAGTTGCTCTTGTGACACAACCAACTCCACCCCTATCCATTTGGTGACTGACTGTCTCCTGATGTGTTTCCAGTCAGGAATCCCATGTAGGTACTGAAGAAAGGTGCTGGTACCACATAAACATAGCGGAAACTGAATGGAGCTGAGTCAGTCTGCATTGATTAGATGCTAGGGGAAAAGGGCCATTAGTTTTGGACTATACAAATCTGGCCTTAAGAAAAAAGTGACACAAAGACAGCAGTGACTGCTCTAATCTAGAATCTGATGTTTGAGAATCAGAAGGACCTCCTTTCAACACCTGAAGTACAAAGAAGACAGAAATGTAAATCACTCAACTGTCAGAACACAGTCTGGATTGGGAGCAATTATTTCCAGAGTTGTCAGATTGGGACTTCTGGATGTGCAGCTGTTATGTCAGTGTACATATTTCCTCTAATTTAAAAAAATGCTGTTCAATCAGGAAAAAAGGCAAATATCTTTGCCATAAAGAGATTTTATTTAAAATCATCCATTAAAAAAAGTGTTTCTGAGGAATACCCACGCTAACTTCAGAGTGGTAGCATGGGTATTCCACTATGAAAGAAGCCTCTGTGATAATGCTAATTATCAAGGTAATCACTTGATAATAGACTCTCTTCATTGCACACACAGCCTTAGATGTGAGAACACATAACATGTGCAAACTGGTTATATAATGCCCCTCTATATTCCACAGAAGCACATACCCAGCGATGTTCCATTGCCCAACATTACTCACACCAGCTGAGGTCAGGTTGAGAAAATACAGGAGGTACAGCTGCCATTTACCATATCCTGGTGTTCAAAAACTATCAAAGAACACATAAAGAATTTCTTTTGTTGCAAAGACATTAAAGTAATCATCAAAGCAGATTGAGAGGATAAGGCAGTGTGTGAGTAAATACTTTGAAAAGTCACCTGCAACAGCATGAAATAAGCATTACAGACTCATCAGTCTATCTTGCAGTGAAAAAGTATCTGAGGGGAGATTTTTCCTCTAGAACCATGGTGTGATGAATGCTATTGTCATCGTCAAATTCCCTGTTTGGCTATTCTGATTTAATGCTCGCCATTAAGATGTGTGCTGATATGAGGAGGACGGAGCAAAGTGCTGCTGAACGACTCTCTCCCCGCCTGTGTCCTCCATGCTCATAAATGTTTAATGGCACAGACAGATGCCTTTAAGCCCCCACAGGCAACGACAAATATGTATTAATCTGCATGAATAGAACATGAAGTTGGCCCACATCCAGACGCACACAGTTTTAATTACTCACAAATCAATTTCCTTCAGGGGTGAGGCTGGGATGAGAGAGGCCACTGTGAAGAGCACTCGATTCAGTGCAAAGAGTCAGACCTACACACACACATGCACGCACCCACCCACACACATGCACGCACACACACACACACACACGCACGCACGCACGCATACCTACACACACACACACACGCACACACACACACACACACACATGCATGCATGCACACGCACACAAAGACAAATCTCTTCTGCAGCTGTTTGTCATCCCAGCATGCCAGAACCATGAGTGTAATATGACTGATGGAAATAGAACACCATCAAAAAATGCATGTTTGAAAAATATTTCTTGTAGAAATATTATTAATGTATTATTTCAAACTATTAAGCATTGTCTCCATATAGTTAGCAGATTACTATTTGTCATGTACTTTTTAATTAATCTGTATTTCTTACTGCATCTGGAACACAAAAAAGTTGAAATGGTTACCGTGCCTAACAAAGCCATGCTAGGCATGTTAATATTGTATGTAGACAAAATCTGTCCCAGCCAATGAAAATACTGCTATCCCTTAGATCAGTGGTGCTCAACCTTTTCAACACAGAGAGCCATTCTTGACCTCAGTCTGGATAATAAACTCATGTAGAGCCACAAATGTTACGTTGTCTTGATACATTTCTTCTAGAAAATTGGTCATTCAAATTGGACAGCCAAATCAGAACCGTGGTTAAGTCCAGTTTTTATCATTTAAGGCGATTGGCATCAGTGAAATCTTTTTCTTTCCAGGCAGCATTTTGAAACAGTGATCCACGCTTTTATTTCAACTCGACTAGATTACTGTAACTCACTTTATCTGGGAGTCAGTCAGTCGCTGCTCTCACGTCTGCAGCTGGTTCAGAATGCTGCTGCACGGCTTTTGACAGGAACTCGAAAGAGAGAGCATGTGACCCCTGTCCTGGCCTCACTTCACTGGCTGCCTGTATATTTTAGGATTCATTTTAAAATTCTTATGTTTGTTTTTAAATCACTGCATAATCTTGAACTGGCTTACCTCTCTGAGCTTCTTCATCCCTATATACCCAATCAGTCTCTCAGGTCTGCAGATCAGCTGCTCTTGGAGGTACCGATATCAAGATGGAAGCTCAGAGGAGACAGGGCTTTCTCTGTTATGGGTCCCTAGTTATGGAATGACTTGCCTTTGCACGTTAGAGAGGCCCCTTCACTGTCCACTTTTAAAGCTCTTCTTAAAACCCATCTATTGTACTTGGCTTTCAACTCCAGCGGGATCCAGTTTTAAATTGTATGTTTGTTTGTTTTTAAACTGCAAGAGTTTTTACTTTTTTTATTTATTAATTTTATTTTTTTTTTTATTTTTTTTATTATGTTGTGTTTTAATTTTAATGTACAGCACTTTGTATCAGCTGGGGTTGTTTTAAAGTGCTTTTTAAATAAGCCAAAGACGTTCCACAGAGGCACATGCGGCTCCGGAGCCGCAGGTTGCAGACCCCTTTTAGAACTACAGGGAAGTGTGATGAATTGGGTACATTTGCATACATTTGTGGTCATTTTGGTGCATGTATCTTTGCAAATCCCACAATGCATTGAAGTTGGATGCAGCTCAAATAGGTGTCCAGCAAATGATGCGCACGAGTGTTCTTTAAAACTGCTAATGTTAGGAACTTTATATGTTGTGGAATGTCTTTCCATGTTTTAGCATAAACAGAAAAATAATTTCTGACCAGAGCAGTTTTTAAAGTCAGGTAGTGGTAAGTGTCCTTTGGTAACTGACCTACTTGATTTCCTAGATTGTTATGTAGCAGAAAGAGCTACATAATTTACACCATGAAAAACCTGAAAATCCAATGTAATACCACTGTACAAAACATGATTTTCAAAAGTTAAAGCACGTGAAGAAGAAAAAACTATACAATGATGAGTCCAGCCAGGGAGAATGTTATGCATTTTGAAGTCCCTATTGTAGATCCTGGCTATGGGTTCCAAGATTTCATTGGTAATAAGAGAGCAGATAGAAAGAGAGTACATGGTTGAAAGTATTACGACATGAAGATAAGTGTTCAATAGACAGAGGTTTGAAATAAAAAGTAAAAGGATTTGATAAAATGAAATATCTTCTAGGTGAGGAAAATTACACTACAAAAATGCATTACACATTTTTTTTTTTACTTTAACCACACCTTTTTTCACATCTATGATGTTTTATCTCTCCTTCTGTTTTCTCTATTGTGTCTTATATTTCGTAAAGCACTTTGTGGTTTCTGACCTGTGAAAGGTGCTATATAAACAAAGTTTACTTTCTTACTTGAGGGAAAGGTTGGGAGCCACTGTTATAAAGTGTTATTACTAAAATTGTCCAGTAGCTGGCATGGTCAGTTGTAGAGATGGTTTTGGGATTGTCTGTATACACTGGAACCACAGAAAGACCAAAAACAAAGGTTTCTAGATTCCAAATTTCCTTGTAGATCCAAAGTCTCCAGACTTTATTTTTTGACTGTAAATGAAAAATAGCTGCTCAGAAAAAAAAAACATATATGCACTATTATAAATACCAACGTGTATACCAGTGGCCTCAGTGCATTCTTTTTGCAGAAAGAATGCACTGAGTAACACACACAAAAACACAGCTGCCTTTGTGTGTATTCATCGCAATCTAATCCTCACTCGTTCCCTTTTATAATGGTGTGTGAATGCTAACACAAGAATTTGTATGAGGGCAAAC